TAATAATTGTTAATCGATCATTCATAGAAATTTAATCGATTAAAAATCAATTAAAGTTAGTCCAATTTTGATCGATGTCAATATTCTGCGATCGACAAATTGATTGAAACAATCAATCATCGATCTTACTCGATTCGATTAAAAGTCCTAATCCATACAAATCATTGACCAAAGTTTTTTTTCAGAATATTGGTCATCTGGTTTGTACAGAGATTACAGTAGCGGTCATAAGTATCCGACCGCCTCTAACTCCTCATACAGGTAAGCAATCAAAAAATTAGCAAATTTTCAATTCGGTTTCACTTTTTGTAAATTGTAGAATGTTTTTTTTATTTTAAATTTTTTTTATATTAAAAACTTGCTTTTCAATTATCCCTTGAGCCCTTTTTTTTTCTTTTTCGTGCATAAAAAAAAAAATTGAAAGTACTCCTATAAACTAAAACAAACGGTGCATTGACCAAAAAACATCAAACAACAAAATCTTCCTTGTCATATGTTATAAAAATCTCATTTTTTTTTATTTAAAAATACAATACTAAACAAACTTTTTTTAATACATAGTAAAATCCCCATTAGAATCTATAAAGGCGGTTATATGACGATTCATGCTATCTACCAATTTCGCGGCAAGCTCAGGTAAGAGTCGGTTCCATTCTTTTGTCAATTTTCCTTTCAAACCTCTAACTGACCGGATTTTTTTTTGTATATTAATTTTCATTAACCGCCACACATTTTCTATAGAGACATTGATGGCCAAGGAAGTTCCTTAATACCATTTTCTTCCTTCCATTTCTTTGTGATTTTTGACTGGTGTTTCGGGTCATTATCCTCTTGCAAGATCCAGTCTATGTTACCTTCTCCAAAAAGCTTAAAAGTGGAAGCCAAAAGACCCTGCTCATAAATAGTATACATAAAATTAGCATTAAGGTTCCTTTGAAAGCTATAAACTTACCAAATCCTGAAGAAGAAAAACACCCCTAAACATGAACTTTTGGTGGATGCTTGACAGAACGAAACACTTTTTTTCTTCCAGCAAACTACCAAACCTTTTTTTTAATATATATAGTTGAAATGTACTCTCATCTGTAAAAAACGACCCGATTCCAATCAAAATGCTTATGTATTTTTGCCCATTGCAGCCGATTCTTCTGATGTGCTTCTGTAAGCAAAGGTTTAGAAATTTCATTAGTAAACTTACCTCCAGATTTCACGAAGATGTCTTCTGACAGTCTCTACACTAATCCTAACATCATGTTCTTCCATATTTTTTTGTATTTGAGTGGCTGTAATATTATGTTCTTTCTCTGCCATCTTTGTAATTCGTTTATTTTGCTTTGCGGTTATTACACGAGGCTGACCTGCAGTACTTAGGTTACGATTTTCATGATATTTTTTAACCTAAAAAATAGCTGTAGATTTATTACAGCAGAACACTTTCGCTATTTGTCCAAAACTGTATCTTAGACAACTGGATGTTCACGTAGAAATATAATTTCGTAGCGTTTTTCAAAAGAAAGTTCTATTTTTTAAGGTGCAAGTTCAATGATCATCTAATTTTTTTAAAAAAAGCCATCAATCTCTATAAAAGTACTGGCGATCAGGTATCATGTTATACTAAATATCTGGAAAATTTGAAGGGTGGTTATATAATAATTTTTGCCAATCACAGGCGGTCGAATACTTATGACCTATGTGAACAAACCAATTTGTAACTCAAAAGGAATTCTGTCAAAAATGGATGTGTCAAGAATTATGCTAAAACTATATTAGTTAGTGAAACTACTAAGCAAATTCAATATTGATGTTCCAAACCACCTTATTGCATATGACCATTCTGTTAATTTAAATGAAATAGAAACTTGGTTAAATGATATTTCCACGAAATTGAATTTATGGTCTTTGGCAAATCAACCAGAACTAATTCCATTATATAAAATTCTTGATGATAATGTCAAGAGACAAATTGAAAATTTATAGAAAATAAACAAAAGATTCTTATGACAGGGGTTACAAAACCTAGTAGTCATAAACACGCTACTACTGAGTTAATTTTGATAATCATCTAATGAATGATTATCGAGTTATAGAATCTGTTATTTATGAATGATAAAAGATTAGATTTAAACGTAAAATTCCAGATGATAAATAACCATGGGTTCTCGATAATGATAAAAGAATATAAAAATTTAAATGAAGAAATCGAAAGATAAATTTTATTTTAAAAAGTAACTAATATCATTAGTTGTTCAAGTATATAATTATTAAATTACACATTCGCAGGGATTTTAAAGTATTTTGGCAACTAATTGGCTGTTGATACTTTAGCAATCATATCAGAGATACCAAAATATTTTGTGAAGAATTAAAGGTTAAAATTTCAAAAAGAAAAACTTTCTGTTGAACTTATGTAGAAGAAGAGTTATCTTTAGGATGTATTATTGCAACTTTTATCTAATATCCACCCTCTACTTATGAGCCTATACTTCAAGTGATCGTGAAATCGTGGTATATTTCAATTCGAAATTTATAACATACCAAAATATATTATTTTATTCTTAATATATAAATACATGAGTACTTATTTGTAATATTGGGATGTTATAAAATAGGTCTAGTAAAAGGATTGGCTTGGATATTATCAATCACTCACTTAAGCCATTGTTTGTATTTATAACTATACAATTGTACACGACTAATCCTAATAAACAAGAATCTATTATCGCAGATTTTGGCTGTAAATAAGATAAGCAAGTTCATGGAAGCTTATAGGCCAGTGATGGGTTTTGGACACATTTTTTAGTTTTGGACAAGGTTTTGGACATATGAAATTGTGTCCAAAACCTGTCCAAAACTACCTAAAATTGTCCAATTTCCCAACATTGTTATAGGCATAAACTGATGCCAGTTAACACCACAATTCCTAGAATTTATCTAAAATGTGATTGAACGAATGAATTTGAAGATAATTTTAAATATTTATAAAGTGTTCTAATTAATTGAAAAATACTATTCAAATTTATTCATATAGAACGATATCTAAGGAGTTGTAGCTATGGTAAAATCGCTAATTTGTACAAAGTCTATGAAGTTAATAAACCAAAAGTTCATTATTTGATAAAAGAATACAAATGTAACACAAGAAGATGCATTTGACAGAGAATTAAAGATGTTAGATAAATTGAAAAATATAGACATTTTTATTGTTTATTATATTCGTTTGTGGTAAATTTACTTATGGTTTATAATTTATATATTTATTTATTTGGTCAAATATAGAAATGATAAATAATTATCAATCACAAGCAACTATTGTATGCGATACAGCCATCTATAAAAAATCCTTTATCTTCTATTTTGATTATACTTTTGGCAAAACTGTCAATAATATACTCTGAAACATTTATTCTTATGCTTAGAAACATTTTTAAGCTATCAAGATAATATTCAAAGATAAGCAGAGAAAATTGACATAATAAAGGTAATAATTCATTTAAAAATTAAAACAATATATTATTAGGATATTGTAACAGTTCTCTCAGAACTTCAAAAATATGACATCGGTAAGTTTCTATAAGTTCGCTACAAATTTTTATAAACTTAATTAACATATACTTGGACACTTTTTTTTAACAGTACATACTAAATTATCACTAAAAATATAATACATTTTCAAGAAAAGAATGGTTATAATGACAGGTAGAAATTGGCTAATTTTGATGTGACGTGTTTTGATGATAGTTCTGGCTCCTAAAATTATAAGAGCGTATGATAATGGAATTAAAATAAGAGCTAATTTTACAATAAATATGTTTTCTTTTAGACTAATTTTATATTTTCTTGAAACAAGTTTTTTCTTGGAATTTATTTATTCAAATTATTGAATGGTATAATAACATTGTGCTTAATTAGGAAATCATTATTAGGATGGGAGAATAATGAAGAAAAAGTTGGAATGATTTTAGTAGAATATTTAACGATGTGATTCTGCTTACGACGCTTTAAAAAAAGTTGTTTAACAAAAGCATTCACATAGAATAATATTGGAAGAATTTATGGCAATTGCAATACAAATAATTTTAATATCAAAAAAACTTTTTTATTTAAATTAAAAAATATTCTCTTTACAAAAAACAATATACTACACCAGTGAATCAGATAAACAAAATGTAGAAACAGAGCGTGTTTATCAAAATTTCAATGCTTTAACCAGTAGTATGTACTCGTCTTGATGCATTACTTTAGTTAAAAATTGTCAATAAGTTAATTCGTATATCGATTGGATTTTTCTGACTTTCTGGTTTATAATTAGAATTGGTAAACAATTTATAATAGCATTGAATATGATTTCTCTAAGGGTGATTTTGAAACCTTTGGTGAAGAGTTTTAAGGAAAACTGTTACAAGTAAAATGTCTATGTTTAGGTTGATTTTGATAAATATTTTTTAGGATTTTTCTTATGATAAGGTTTCACTTCTAGGAATAATATCAAGCTTTCCTTAAAAAATATCATGACGAAATTAAACAAAAGTTAAAAATAATGAATAATAAAATTAATAATAATAAAAGAACCATATTGGATTTATCTGAATTAATAAAGAAAATCTCACAATGGGTAAATACATTGTTTTTTTTGAATTGATTTAAAATTTCTTTATTAAAATTTTTTTTTAACATTTCTTTTTTAAAAAGGCCAAGTTAATAAATAAAAAGTCCCTCAAATGTTTATGATTACTAGTTAAAATCATTTCTTTTAGCACTAATACCTTTCAGTAAACATTTATCTGATTCAGTCATGTGATTCAGCAAAAATTCAGCTTAAGTTACAAAAATCAATAGTCATTTGTTACATCGCACATAATTTAGCATTATTTTGGTATTAGATCTTTCATCAAACATTTAGCTAATTCAGTCATGTGATTCAGGAAAAATTCAACTTAAGTTACAAAAATCGCATTATTTCAGTATTAAGACCTTTTGGTTATAATATTTAGCAAAATTTTAGTTAGACTCAAGATTTGGCAACAAATCGACTATATCTTACTAGTCGAAATCTATTGAGCTGATTTTTGCGAAAATTATAAAAACTTTTTCCAAAAAGACGATAAAAATCGTCTCAAAAGAAATGATATATTCATCCCTAAAGAGACGATACAATCATCCCAAAAGAGATGATGAAAATTGTTTCAAAAGGAACGAACAATCATTTCCAAAGAGAAAATGAAAATTGTTCCTAAAGGAATGAATAATCATTCCCAAAGAGACAATGAAAATCATTCCTAAAGGAATGATTCAATTATCATTCTGAAAGAACAATATTTTTTTTATCATTCTGAAAGAATGATGTTTTTTATCATTCTGAAGGAACGAGTACTTCACCGTTCTGAAAGAACAATGATTTTTTTATTGTTCTTTCAGAACGATACATCATCATTCTAAAAGAACAATTTTTTTATTATTTTGAAGAAATGATTTTTTATCATTCTTAATGAATGATACATCATCGTTTCGAATGAATGATTTTTTTATCATTTTAATGAACAATGTATCATCATTCTGAATGAATGATTTTTTATCGTTTTTTTCAGAATAATACATCATCATTCTAAAAGAACGATATTTTTTTATCATTCTTTCAGAACAATACTTCATCATTCTGAAAGAATGATTTTTTATTGTTCTTTTGGAATGATTCATCATCATTCTAAAAAGAATATTTTTTTTATCATTCTTTTGAAATGATACATAATCGTTCCTTTAGAATGATATTTTACATCGTTCTTTTTGAATGATTTTATTATTGTTCTTAAAAAACAATCAAATTATTATTCCTTTTGAATGATTTTGTTATCATTCGTAAGGAACGATTGAATTATCATTTCTTTTGAATCATTTTTTATATCGTTTTTAGGAATGATCAAATTATCATTCCTTTAGAATGATTTTATCATCATTTATAAGGAACGATCAAAATATCATTGATTTTACAATCAAATGATTCAAAATTATCTGTTTAGAACATTTATGATAAATAGTATAAATTATATCTAAATTTCAAATTAATTGAAATTTTAGTTTAGTTTACAATAAAAAACTGATAAACTTTCACAATATTATTACACAAAGATGACATGGATGACTCAGATGACGAATATGACTGCGGTGACTAATATGTCATATATGTCTTCTATGT